CATGGGCAAAAATTTTTGGCTATACGATTGAGCTAGATAAATGGCAACAACTATGGAAAAGAAATTATAAATTAACAATGGCGACAGCATATAAAGAGAACTTGTATAAAATGTTCTATAGGTGGCACATGCCACCAGAGAGATTGGCAAAAATGTTTAAAGATAAATCAGCTAAATGTTAGAAATGCCATCAGATACCGGGATCATATTATCATATGTGGAAGCGAGAAAATACTGGGCAAGAATTAGAATATGGTTAGAGAAAATGATATAGCAACATATTGATTTAAAACCAGAACTGTTCCTGTTGAGTATTTTTTCAGAGAAGTATAGTAAAGAACATATATATTTAATAATACATGTTATAATGCAGCAAGAATGATATTTGCACAAAAGTGGAAAGCAGAAAAAAACCCCTACAAAGGGAGAGGTAATTAAGAAAATATTGGAATGTGTAGAAATGAATAGGTTGACATTGGCAATTAAAAGGAAAACAGAATCAGAGTATTACAACATTTGGGGGAAAATTTATCAATGGATAGAAAGTGAGTATAAACAATAAACATGGTAAAGACAAGAACTTTGAGATGAATATGTTGTAGTATGTTAAAATTAAATGAAAAAAGGAAATATAAATATATATGTTAAGAAATTATGATAAACTTTGAAGATGATGGCACAAAAGTTATACTCAAATGATACATGGATTGATTAATAATTGATGTACAGGAATATTAGAAGAGGAATAATTGTAAAGTAAAAAAGAAATTTGAAATGAAGATATATGTAAATAGAAATCGGGTCTGCTTGAATACCATCTTAGATTGAATTAAAAAAGGAAACAAGAAGGGAATGGGAAAAGGGGGAGGAGTAGAGAGGGAAAAGTAGGGGAGTTGGGAGGTGAGAAGAGAAGAAAAGAAGAATGGGAAAAGGAGAAGAAGAAGGAAGGGAAAAGAAGAGTAGGAGAGAGGATAAGGGGGAGGAAGAAGAGAGGAGAGGGGAAAGAGGAGAGGAAGTAGAAAAGGAAAGGAAAGGAAGAATGAGGAAAGTAGAAAGAAAAGAGGAGAAAGAAGGGAAGAGAAAAAGGAAAGGTTGTAGTAAAACAAAGGAAGGAAATGGTAAAAGAGCAGGCCCAAACAATTCATTAATTAGCTAACAGAAATTAAAGAATAAGATGAACGAACAACGTATAAGGATGGATAAAAGACTGTACATTTAAATATGTTGATGAAAAATAAAAATAATTTTTTTTCAAAAAAAAAAAAAAGATGAGATGAACATCCACTCTTCTGGTTTTCCAGAAGACTCCAGAAGAGTCTTAAGACTTTGTCAATTAGCATGGAGCACATTGGTTCACATGGTTAGGATGCTGTGGTGATGATTGGCAGGCTCATGTTCGAGACTTAGTTGTTATTGTGGGATGAGGAGAGGTCCCATCACTCGCTCTAGCTCCTGCCTACCCAGCTCAAAAGGAGGTGACTGTGAATAGATAGATGGGGTACCACTTCAGTAGGCAGCTTATTGGGGACATGAAAGGAGCCCCCAACTGGGTTTCCCCTAGGCAACGGTGATGTCACTGCCTAATCCTTTCAATGCAAAAGTGCTTTGGGCTCCCGATATGACTATGCTCCTCTGTCCTAGTCCTATTAGATCTCTCAGCGGCTTTTGATACCATCGACCATGGTATCATGCTGCAGCGGTTGAGAGGGTTAGAAATAGGGGGCACCGTTCTGCGGTGGTTCTCCTCCTTCCTCTCTGACCGCTTGCAGTTTGTGTTGGCAGGGGGGCAGAGGTCAACCTCGAGGCACCTCGCATGGGGAGTGCCACAAGGGTCGGTCCTCTCGCCCCTTCTGTTCAACATTTATGTGAAGCCGCTGGGTGAGATCATTCGTGGTTTTGGGGTGAAGTGTCATCTGTACGCTGATGATACTCAGCTGTACATCTCCACCCCAGACCACCCCAATGATGCCCTTGATGTGATGTCTCGCTGCCTGGAGGCCGTGCAGGTCTGGATGGGAAGGAACAGGCTCAGACTCAACCCGTCCAAGACCAAGTGGCTGTGGCTGCCGGCGTCCCGATATAGTCAGCAGGTGCCATCGCTGACTATTGGGGGTGAATCTTTGCCCCCCACAGAGAGGGCTCGCAATCTGGGTGTCCTCCTGGATGTACGGCTGTCTTTAGAAGAGCATATGATGGCCGTGGCCAGGGGGGCCTTTTATCAGGTTCGCCTGATTTGCCAGTTGCAGCCCTTTCTGGACCAGGACGCCTTCCGCACGGTCACTCACGCCCTTGTCACCTCCCGGCTGGACTATTGTAATGCTCTCTACATGGGCCCCCCCTTGAAGAGCATTCGGAGGCTCCAATTGGTCCAGAATGCGGCCGCACTGGTGGTTATGGGTGCAACTTGTTGTGCCCGCGTGACACCCCTCCTGAGCGAGCTGCACTGGCTCCCAGTGGTCTTCTGGGTGCGATTCAAGGTGTTGGTCATCACCTTTAAAGCGCTCCATGGCACAGGACCCGGGTACCTTTGAGACTGACTTCTGCCACCAATAGCCTCCCACCGGCCAGTTCGCTCCCACAGACAGGGTCTCCTCAGAGTGCCATCAGCCAAGTTAGGTCGGCTGGTGACACCCAGGGGGAGGGCCTTCTCTGTGGGAGCCCCAGCCCTGTGGAATGAACTGCCCCCGGAAATATGTAAGATCTCCGACCTCCGGGTGTTTCGCTGCGCACTGAAGACCCTGTTGTTCCGCCAGGCTGGGCTATCAACATAATAATTTTAAATTGGGGTATTTTAAATTTTTGGGGTTTTAAATCGGGCCAAATCTATTTAATTATTTTAATTTTTAACCACTGTTTTGTCTTGTGTTTTTAAATTGGCTGTACACCGCCCTAATTATTATTATAACAGTAGCATGGAGTTCTAAAAGTGTTGTAGAACCCTGGGGTGGCTGGTGGCTTGAGCCCCCCCCCCCAACTCAATTTTTTAGCCTTGTAAATTTTTAACTTTGATTTTCACTTTTAACTTGTGAATTTTAACTTTGTTTTAATTTTATTTTTTATTGTGCTTTTAGTAATGCTTTATATTGTTTTAGTATGTTATTTGTAAGCTACGCAGAGTCACTTAGATAAGATGGCCATTTGCTAAAGATAAGATGTCACTTAGATAAGATGGAAATTTGCTAAAAAAACATTTAGGTATCAATTATAGTGAGAATGGCTGCACCATTGGAAATTCTGAAGAGCAAGGTTAGGGTCAGATCATCCTGAAGAATGTATATTGATATGGTTGGCCAGGTTGTCCTCACCAATTTGATAGCAGATACAGTAATGAATCAATACTTTTAAGGATAGGTATATGAACACATACTTTATATTAATAAATAGTGAGTTATAGTAAAAACTAAATAACTACTACTGAGAAGTGTTTACTAAATTCTTTCCAAGACCTGAATGAAACCAATATAGATTATATATGCCCAGAAAGGCTTGCGGAATGGCATTTTTTAATAAATACTGCACTCATGACTATGCTTCATTTTTAGGCCAAATAATTTCCTATTCTATTTGAAGTTCCAGCCTACTGTGAAATGAAGCATTTGATATTATCAAATTTAGTTATGTATCATATAAAAAAGCAATAAACTAAAATTTTGTAACAATATTTTTCAAAGAAAAAAGCAATATACCATGATATATAAATAAATGTCTCACAGTAATGCACATTTAATGCACCAAGCACTATAATTTGAGAACACCTCTTTTGGGGATGGGATGGGATGGGATGGGATGGGATGGGTTAGAATAGAATAGAATAGAATAGAATAGAATAGAATAGAATAGAATAGAGTAGAGTAGAGTAGAGTAGAGTAGAGTAGAGTAGAGTAGAGTAGAATAGAGTAGAATAGAATAGAATAGAATAGAATAGAATAGAATAGAATAGAATGCTTGTGAACATAATTATATGAAAATTGTATGAGTATTCAGTCTAAACTATTGCTCTGTTTCTTACTGTCGTTTAACTTTACAGATTTGAATTGTGCTTTATATAGTAAGACTGTGCTTTCATTAATTGACTATATTTATAATTCCCCTTTTCTTCAGGAGTTCAGTACTTTTTACATGGAAATCTATTTTCATTTTGTACCTATAACAACTCTGCAAGGTTATTAGCTGAGATACAATAAGAAACTAAATTACTCAGTAAATTTCATGACTATTGAAGAAGGGAAAAATCCTTTCCAAAATTAACAATGATATCAAAACTCCCAAGTGCTAGCTATTTGTTTTAATAGAAAGGTTGATTTTCTGCAGCTCAACAAAAACTAAAAAAAGGAAAAAGAAAAATAGACTGAAATTAGGTCATTGCTTCATAGAATGATATCAGCTGTCTTAATTATTCAACACAAAGTAACTGCAGTGCAGTTTTGAATAAAATATTTTGGCAAGTAATTATCAGTTCTTAGAAACAGACCAACCCGCTCCCTTTGAGTAGTGGTGAGATAACCTATTAATAAGCAGTAAACACAATCTAAGTTGAAATAAGATTGAAATAAGACAAATTTATTATTGTGTGTGTGTATGTGTGTGTGTGTTGTCTTTCCTTGCAAACATGCCCCAGAAAAAAAATGAGAAAAGAAGACCCAAGAAAACCTGTTTTAACTAGTTCAAAGAGCAAAGAAGACTGTCTGCTTTGCATTTAAATCTACAAGGGATAGTTTTTTGCACAGTTGTCACTACACCATTGTAATATTGCCATGCAGGGAAATAATGTCAAGGCAGTGATGATACTGCGCAAGAAAAGCTTGTGAGTTCGGTCCCTGTAGATTATTCCTCTAATTGCAGAAAGCAATTATTGCATGTTAGCATTAGAAAACATCATTGGAAGAGGTGGCATCATTATATCAAAGGGAAGGTACCATCTGACAGAACACTGAGAATTCAGCTCAGCAAATTTTTGTTACTGCACAGAATTTAACTGGGCTTTATTCACTAGCACAGCTTTGCTGTGTTTCTGAAGTGCAGAGGCAGCAATGCGATGCTTCTGTGGATGCCATGCCCTGAGGTATACAGACAATATTGAAAAAGTTTGCAGCCAAAAGAAAGGAGGTTTTGTTGTCACAGATCGGTAAAAATAGAAATGGATCCAAAGAGATACACCTGTGAGTAGAAATCCCTTTTTTCATAAATGGAAATACCGTTCTGAATTTAATAGAATATTTCTACTAAAAGGCAATTGAAATCCGTAACATAGGATGAGATGCAATACCTTGCACCTAAGTTGATATCTTGCATAATTTATTGTAGAATTCCATGTTCAAGATTATGCACAAGACCAAATGGTGGTGGATCTTCACAACATGCAACAGCTGAACATAACTTCAAAACTGGTAATTGTGTGGTGTTTTCCATCAGTTGTGAAGGTAGAAACCTGTTTAAGGTACCTGTTTAAGACTATGTGGCCTGCACAAATCTAGAATCTTTTTATCATTACAGGTCATCTAATTTTTATGTCAGCAGATATCTTATCTCTGTATATTGACAGGGCTAACCCAAGCAACATTTCAAGATCTATCCTGTCTCAAATATTATCTTTTGAATACTGCTAGCATCAGAATTTCTTAACCTACCTTATGACTATATACATCATATATAATTTAACTCTAGTCAAATAAGTTCACTTTATATTCCTTCTGCTTACTTTTTAAAAGCTTCATCTTTAACCCTGTCAAGTAATGTCCCAGAAGCTGATTTCTTTTCATTTCCCTTTTGTCTCCTTTCAGGAATAGTAGTTTAACATGTCTGTTTTATAAATCCAGGCTAAGAAAACTTTACAAATCACATCTGATTTATTATTTAATGATTAAGCATCAGTTAATAACAAATGTAAATCCATTGTAGCATCCTTTTCCATATCACTCTTGAAATCTGGCATTTTTAAAAAAATCTTTCTAGTCCACGTAACCCCTTAACTATGGGGCTGTGGTGGGTGGGTGGGGCACAGGGGGGCGGGGGTGCAGAACCGGTTCAGTGACCTCATATCATCACCGCTACCGGCTCAGGAGAACCAGGCCAAACCGGGAGGAACCCATCACTGCCTATGACTATCATTAAGTGTTGTACCTTATGATTCTTGACGAATGTATCTTGTCTTTTTATGTACACTGGGAGCATATGCACCAAAGACAAATTCTTTGTGTGTCCAATCCCACTTGGCCAATAAAGAATTCTATTCTAGTCTATTCTAGTCTATTCTAGTCTATTCTAGTCTAGTCTAGTCTAGTCTAGTCTAGTCTACTCTACTCTACTCTACTCTACTCTACTCTACTCTATTCTAAATGTTGCTACCTTCAGAAGCTCAGTTTTATATGACAAGGAACTCTTAGTGAATAAAATCAAACTCAGTTCTAAATAACGAGGCTTAAATCCTCTGCAAGCAATAGGTTTACCCCTCCCCCAGAGACTTCCCAAGTCTATTACCAAATTATACTTTTGACTATGCTACAAGGGAAAAATTAAAATAAATGAGAAGTTATCATACTAATTCTATTGTGATTCACATGAAATCCATTTTTATTTTTCTACCGACCTGATGGCCCTACTTTAGGGCCAATGACCTATTCCAATGCTATGGCCCAGGAAAATATGTCCCAGATTTGAGTAAAGCTAGATACCATGACACATATCTAGGGACGCGGTGGCTCAGTGGCTAAAACGCTGAACTTGTCAATCGAAAGGTCGGCAGTTCAGCGGTTCGAATCCCTAGTGCCGCATAATGGGGTGAACTCCTGTTACTTGTCCCAGCTTCTGCCAACCTAGCAGTTCGAAAGCATGTAAAAAATGCAAGTAGAAAAATAGGGACCACCTTTGGTGGGAAGGTAACAGCATTTCGTGTGCCTTTGGGGTTTAGTCATGCCACATGACCATGGAGACATCTTTGGACAGGCTTTGAAGCAGGAGATAAGCACCGCCCCCTAGAGTCGGGAACGACTAGCACATATGTGCGAGGGGAAACTTTACCTTTAGATATCATGAACTTCATTTACAACTCAATGAATTTCAGTTGGGCACAAGGCAATCTTTGTACCCAATAAACCCAAATCCTAAACAATCTCTCCCTTATTGAAAGATTTAACCAAGCGATTTTGGTTACCTTCATCCTTTCCATGGCCAGAAAAGAACAAAGATGGTGAGCTCGTGACATCTTCTACTATAACAAAAGAATATATCATTGACAGCACCCATGGAACACAATTCTTTCTTTAAAGCGCTCCATGGCATAGGACCCGGGTACCTTCGAGACCGTCTTCTGCCACCAATAGCCTCCCACCGACCAGTCCGCTCCCACAGAGAGGGTCTCCTCCGGGTGCCATCAGCCAAGTTATGTCGGCTGGCGACATCCAGGGGGAGGGCCTTCTCTGTGGGAGCTCCAGCCCTGTGGAATGAACTGCCCCCCGAAATACGAAAGATTTCCGACCTCCGGGTGTTTCGCTGCGCTCTGAAGACCCTGTTGTTCCGCCAGGCAGGGTTACTAACATAACGTTTTAAATTGGGGTATTTTAAATTTCTGGGATTTTAATTGGAGCCTAATTATTTAATGATTTTAAATTTTAAATTGTTGTTGTGTTTTTTGTGTTTTTAAATAGGCTGTACACCGCCCTGAGTCCTTCGGGAGAAGGGCGGTATAGAAATAAAATTATTATTATTATTATTATTATTATTTCTTTACTCCTCCACAATCCTGTAGAAGCCAAGATCTATGAAAGCTCTCACTTCCTCCCTTGCCCTCCTTGTTTATTCCCATTTCCTCTACCTTGAAAGAAAGTTTCCAGCAATTAGCTGGAAAGCGTACAAGAGCATTTAAACTCTCTGATTATTCACTGTAATAAATACATTTTAAAAAGTTTAGTAAATGAAGAGACATTTTTTAAGAACTAAGAAAATCATTTTTAAAAATTAGTAGAAAAAAGATGTAGCTTGTGAAACAAGGTTTAGTCTTCTTTAATGAAAATCTTTTTTTTAATGGAACAATTATTAGAGGAAAAAAGTCTTTTTCACTCTAAGTGCTCGTTTCATCAATTTCCTTTCATTTTGCTTCTTACATCCCTTTGCCACTTTGCTGATTGCTTTAACCATGCAATGAAATACTTCTACAATCAAACAGCATTCAGAGGGTTTTTTTTAATACCGCATTGTAGTTAATCTTCAGAAACCATGCTGAGGTCAGTCAGGTACATATAAATATGAAAGAATCCTCTGACAGCACAACCCTTTACATGTTTATTCAGGAAAAAAATTGTCATTCCATTAAATGAGATTTATTCCATTGAAAGTTTGCATAAGATTAAACCTGAGCTTTGATGGTTCTGTATAGATGAAATAAACAATGGAGGAAGAAATTATTAACAAAAACAAGTTTTGCCTTTTCTTTTCACAACAAACAGAAGGCATGGAAATGTGCATTTTGATAAAATTCAATTTGTGCTTTCTACAGGATTCCAGAATTGGTGAATGGTTAATGATAATAATTAGGTTCCCCAAATCTACTAAATGAAGTAACCAGATGCAACTTCACTTAAAACTTAGCTTATATTTCTTTTCTTTTTGGTCTTGAGTATCTTCCAAGACACAACAGGACTATAGATGACACCAATCATGGATTTCTTGTTTGCTTTTTCTCATGTAAATGACAATTGCTTGAGATTGGTATATTTCCATACAGTTCTGATCTTTATTAGAGAAACTTCCATCTTGTTTTCCAAAACCAGAGGTGGCATATAGAATATTGGGAAACGTAGAAACACTTCCTTGTCTTTTGCAGTAAATTGTAATTAAAAATATTTCAATTTCCCCAGAGTTCCAATTGATTTTAAAACAGTATATCATAAATTGCCTGCAGTATTAGACCAATGCAGTATTGTATTCTTTAATATTCATATATAGCAAACCCAAATCCATTTATATTCCAATTATGACACTTACTACCTATGGCATTCCAATCTCTTGGAATTGGACTGTTATAATTGTTAGTGAAGGATTGCTTTAAAAATTTTATAATCATCACAAGAAATAGGAAATTATAGTGCTGCAGGTGCATAACTTTTAAAATAATGAATTTTAAGCCATTAATTTATTTTGTAATCAATTATCAGATTTAAATAGAAATGGGAATAAGTCTTTTTCATGTGAAGGAATGTAAAAACATCATTTTCTTTGTGCAATAAGATAAATAATAAAGCAACTGACTATAAGATTTTGGAATATGAGAATTATTTGAACAGACATAATAAAGAAAAACTGAAGTGAAATTGAGCAGGAATGTTAATTAAAAATCATAAACAATATTGATAAGGTAGCAGAAAAGTGGATAAGGTACATCCAAACTGCAAGAAAAATATGCCCTTAAATTAATGTCAGAAAGAGACATGTTGGAGTAAGCTATGCTGTGTTCTAATTTACCTTTGCCCTGTGACTCTTGAGATGCTGTTACACAATTCCATTATTCTTGGCCACTGGCTAGGCAGCCTGAGCTAGTAGAATTCATACACCAAATTACAGAGGACCTAAGTTGGAGAAAATATAGTTCTATTTACTATATTATCTGTTGAAAGTATTTTAAGACTGTGTTCAAGATCATATACGCTAACTTATTTAAATTGTTTCATTGTTTTTTAAGAAATATGGGTTTACTTAGGAGAAGCTGATTAACTTTCCTTCATAAAATGATATTATGAGCATACAAGTATTATCCTGAGCCACGGTGGTGCAGTGGTTAGAATGCAGTACTGCAAGTTACTTCTGCTGCTGCCGGCTGCCTGCAATTTGGCAGTTCGAATTTCACCAGCCTCAAGGTTGACTCAACCTTCCATCATTCTGAGGTCGATAAAAAGAGGATCCAGATTGTTGGGGGCAATATCCTGACTCTGTAAACTGCTTAGAGAGGGCTGTAAAGCACTGTGAAACGGTATATAAGTCTAAGTGCTACTGCTATTGCTATCCTCCCACTCACGTGTTGCAATGCAAAGCATCATGTTCAAATAACTGCATTAGTGAATGCATGGAAGGCATTAAAAAGAGTTGGTTTGTATAGTCCTCAGGTAGTAAACTGATATGCTTGTAATCACAGTTAATAGAAAGATCAATTAAACGGTAGGAAAAGGATTCCTATCCTGCTTTATCTTATTGCATAAAGAATTTTCATTGAAATCTATATGCATTTTGTAATGTATTGAAACATAGCCCAAAACAATGCTATTAATTGTTTATTTTATTGTTCTGCTATTTTATTTCTGTCCTGTTTATACTCTTTTCATTTTTTCCTTTCTATTGTTGTAGAATTCCTAGAGTAGCCCCATGGTGAGATAGGTGGCAAATCAATTTAACAGATAAA